AAACTTGAAGCTAAAGCAAAGTTTAAGTTGAGCCATAGCTGATCCAAATACTGATCACTTTATATTGTAACCCATTTAGCAGTAAAGTTTATCTATATGTCTTCCAGCTTGTCACAAGTCTTACCCCTCTCCTCCAAAAGTCTCTATAAACAAATTTTTCTCTGTGGTCCCTAATTGATGATAAGTGTATTACAGCTCCTCAATTTCCCTATCTCAAGACAAGGTTACTCTAAATTTAACAAAGTAATGGACTTGATAACACTCAAACTATAACTCAGCTGGCTACTACTCGCAACCTTAATTTCTTGATATCAGTATACAATAATCAATATGTTTTAAATAAGAACCCTAATGCTTAATTTTGCAGTGATCACCTTCCTCCTTTTCATTTTCAGAGCAGACTGGAACCTCCGTAGGTGTTTTTGCTTGTTTTGAGTGGGGATGGAAGAAAAGGAATCATGCCACATATCTGATTTATTAAACCAAATTCGTTCTATTTATATATCGGTAGAACTACCTCATTCTCTGAAAAAATAAAATTTCTCGCATTTTATCTGTGCTTTGCAGTCAAACTTCCAGACACTTTCAATCAAAAAGCTTTGCAGAAGCAAACTTAATAAAATGTTCAAAGTAATAAGAAAGCAGTTTCTGCTCTAGTACAGCCCAGAAAACAGGGTCAAAAAGTATGCGTTGGACATAAATTCCTTTGCTGGTAAAAACAATAATGTCACACCACCTTGCTCCCACAACTGCCATATGTCCTTGGACTTGGGCATAGTACGGGTGGTTTCTCCTTCAATTTACACTCAGAAGCACTTATCTGTTCCATGAAGAACTTTGCATCTGTGCAAGCATCAAGGGGTGTAACATGATATTTGGTGTACAGGCATTTTACTTCTGCTATGCTAAAGTAATCAACACAGGCAAAGTCAAATATTTGTGCATTCAGGGTGGCACCTAAAATTGGACATTCTCTAGACACCACTAGTCCACAGGGCAGTACCTTAACCTTAAAATAAAGTAAACTTGCACATTTTAAACATCATCGCCAATATGTGGTTACAGAATCCTACTTTTCCTGCCACACACGAACATGAAGCACTCACCACTTCTCCTGACAAGATACATGGGCAATTTTCAGATTATGAGGAGGGTCGCTTTTCCTGAAACTGTGGCAACACTTCCCTTTAAAAAAAAAGTACCTGGAATCACTCACACATTCAATATCCTCTAGGTATTCGTCGTCTAAAAAGCGCCTGGTCTTTACTTATCCGAACGGAACGGAGTGGTGTTCCAAATTGGCGATGCTTTTCCAGACTTAAAAATATGGCGATTCATTTGGAGCCATCTTTTCAAGTGAAGTTCCCCATCCAGAGCTGGGAAACTGTACTGATGTACTGATTCATTACTGTTAGTGTCAGGCTCAGAACTCGTGCCTTGCTTTTCCTTTCTACGGCTGTATATTTTGTGAGAATCTGGATCCACAACCTGTTTAGCTTTGCCTGTTCGTATGTAGTCAAATGTAGTTATGCACTCGCTTCACCAGCTCTGCTTTGTCTTCAATCCTTTCCCCGCGTCTCCACGACATTTAAGCCAAAATTTAAGCTCTGAAAATTTTAACTCCTCAGGTTTTCTTCCAAGAAGAGAAGCACCAGATATATCGTTTTCCGTAAGAAATATCGGATTAGAAACATTCGAAGTACTCGTAGTTTGACCTCTCTGACCGCGTTTTTGTGCAACTCGATCCAGGACTCTCGCGCTGTCCGCCCTTATGGAAAGTCTGTCAGGATTTTCTGTGGCTCAGTGGTTGGAGCATCGGAGCGCGGAATCCGAAGGTCTGAGGTTCGATTCCTCATAGGGACTCAGAATTTTTTCTTTGTCCTACGCTCGTGACAAGACGAAAAAAAAGATATCTTTTCTAAAGTAATTTACTTTTGAAAAGCAGCAAGGTTTTTATCATAACAAGGTCATCCTTAGCTGTCACTCCTGTTCAAAGGTTTGGCAGCACACAGCTGTAAATGGACTATTGCTAACTAAGTCTGTTAATTCTTGAAGGTTACTCAGTCCCATCTTCAGAGGCCGAAAAAATAATTTTTTTCTCTTATTTGACTTAACTGAATGCAAAAATTTTACCCAACGTTTCCAAAAGAAAAAAGTTTTTCAATCTGCAAAAGCACCCGAGTCATTTAGAAAAACGTATTTTCAAATAAAAGTTAATAGATTAGGAAGTTGTCATAATCTCGTACCAGAGCGAACCCCTGGGGAACGTATTTCATGTTATTTGCATATTTTGATGACTTTCTGGTTACTAGAATTTACAACTAGAAAATGACGTAGCTTAAAGTTGAAAATTCTAAAAACTGAACGATTTTAAAACAAAATTTTCTATTGCACAACACTTTTGGGACATAACATACACAAATATGCTAAGAACAAATTTAAAAGGACAAGCAGCGTTATCGATAGGTAAGGAGAAATATTGAACGAAATGATTATACGCCTACCGGCCACATTGATTGGTATAGATTTCACTCTCGGCATAAACGAATTTTTCCAAAACACTAGCTCTCCTAAGTAAATTAAAATGAAGATGCCAGCTCTAATGAACATCACAAGGTATTTACTGGTTTTGAACCTGATCTTTCTTTTCTCAAGTCCAGCAATTGAAAAGTCCAGTCCATGTAATACTTCTTTCGAGCCCGCTGTAATTTCTGGTGTGCGGAAATCTATTTGAATTGTGAAAAGAACATATGCTTTGGCGTCGCTTGAGGAAATTTGAATACGATTCTTTCTTCTGTGGATTTACGGCCATAAAGGTACGAACTGGAAAATTGACAATTTAGATTTTAGGTATCAAGTGGGGTTTCTTTAAAAATCATGAGATGGAGCAAAATTGACTTGTGAAAAAATATCCACTGTGTGTAAAATAGCACAATGAAAAGAGCATTTTGTGAAATTGTCACAGCTGTAGGACTTCTTCACGTCGCTACAGTGGTAATTTATTTAAAACTGTACCATCAAGATGTTAAATCAACAAGAATTTTAACGAAGGAAGAGGAATTGGAGGGACGAATTAAAGGTATTTCTTCGAGTATCAATGATATTTCAACCAAATACTCTGAACTCAAGGACGTACGTTCGCAATGCTCTCAGCTGACATTTTCGTTCGCTTCTCATGTCACGCAACCAACCCTCCACACCAACAACACAAGTATTTTCCTTTTGGTTTTAATCACATCTGGAGTTGGAAAATTGTATTCAGAGCGACGAAATAGTGTCCGTAACACATGGGGTGATAAGTCGATTAAAAGTGGCCAGAGAAACTGGGAGCGCGTCTTTGTGATAGGCAAAGCTCTTAGCGCCGAACACTCTGAAGAAATTCGCCAAGAAGCGGCCTTTTTTGAAGACATTCTTGTGCTGAACATGACGGATAGTTACAAAAATTTAGTGATTAAGATTTTGTCTGAGTTGCTATGGAGTTTGATTCATGTAAACCCACGTTTTATCCTCAAAGCAGATGACGATGTTTATGTTCATGTTCCCGGACTGCTATCATGGCTGGATAATTATGCAAATAATAATTATGCAAATAATAATTATCCAGAGGATAAATTATACGGCGGTTTCGTTATTGGCGACGGTGAAGTGAGACGAGGAGAGAAAAGGAAAAACCGCGTTGCGAGAGACTGTTTGGCAAAAGATTTCTATCCTCCTTACTGCACGGGTGCTTTTTACGTCCTCTCAACTGATATTCTTCCTTCACTATTTAAAGCAGTGGAGAGAAGACCAGCATTCCCTGTTGAAGATGCCTACATGGGTATCTTAGCTCAAGAAATTGGCCTTCAACCGGTAGATATACCCGGTTTTTATTTTAGGAAAAAAGTGACAGATTATGGAAGGTGTGACTTTGCTTCTGCAATAGCTGTAGGGCATAATCTTGGGTTGGTGGAGTTTATTTTTGTAGCAAAGAACCTAGAACAGACAAAACAACTTCCAAAAAGTTATTATGAATGTTTCTTGATGTATGAATGGGTGGGTTTTATATTTCTTTTAATATTCCTGATTATTTTGGTTTTTCTTATGATTATTTTTGTGAAATTCCTATCTCATCTGAGAAGAATCTTGTATGGTATATATCTCAAGGTATAGTGTAACAAGTAATTTGACTTACACCTGATTGTCACAATGCTTTTTGTAGCATTAAGTGAATATGGTGCAGCAAGAATCACTTAGTTAGTTCTTCTGTAAATACAATGGTTCCAATAGGAGCTCTCATATCTCATAAAGTGGACGACCTCAAATAAATTTTGAAATTGAAAATGACCCCACTGGTTTAGAGCTCTGTGCTTTTCTCACCGTGGCCATTTTGAGAGCGGTGCAGCAAGAATCACTTTCTTAGTTTGGCTGTAAATATGACAGTTCCAGTGGGAACTCTCATGTCTCTCACACTGGCCTCAAGTTAGTTCTGAAAGTGAAAATAACCCAACTGGTCTATAGC